GAAAGAATAAACTAATTTTATTTAAGAAAGGACTTGTATCGCTGAAGCTCTTCGGAAAGAATTTTACGGGAAATTAACAAACGACTAGAGACGTAACAATACAAACAATCTTCACTAAGCGAACTCACCCCCTCCTACACATAAATATAATTCTTTTATGTCAGTATCTGGGTAGGTTGGCTGAGAGGTCAGATTAATTAATTTTCATTCTGTGTTAACTTTAAAATTAGAAATAAAAGAGATAGAGCAAAGTATCCTATAAACTGCATTAGCTCTCCACCTCCATCACTTAAAATATTTCTATTAATGCTATTATAATCATGTAAAATTAACCTTTATTAATATATCAATAACCAAGTAATGACCATTCTCTCAATCTCTTTATTCAGATGACATACTTGAGAATTAATTTTGGGTTGTTTAGTTGTAATGTAAACCAGAGACCCACCTTTTTGAAAGAATTTTAGCCTCAACTAATTATTACTTTGGGATAAAGTTGTCAGTTTTATTCCAATACGTATAGTAAACCATGTGGTAATCTGTGGTTAAGATAATATCCCACAATTCCATGCGGGCTTTTGCTGCTTACAAAAGCATTTGTACGGAAGTAAGCTATTGCAAATTGACCTTGAGTTAGGTAAGTGTGTTTAAGGAGTAGTGAGATTATTGCAAAAGTATTGAATGTTTCGTTATCAGAATATTAAATGCCTGTAATTTGTTTTAGCACGCGTGATAATATTATTATTATTACATACCTAAAAATTGTCTTTGTTCAAAACAGACGATTTTTAAGCAAAGTATTTAAATGATTTTCCTAACCGGGTATGTGCCATTGCGTCAGTTTTCCAAATGCGGTTTTTGCTGCATCGGCGTGATGTAGAGCACGTATCTGTTACTGTTATGATTGATACAAACGTGAGCCCAGTAGGCCAATTTTACTTTACTTGTAACATCATAGAATCGAAATAACTTGTTAAATAAATAGTTTTGTTGAGCTGCTGTTTAAGGTTTGTATTGCAGGATAAACTATTTGAGTATTTCTCATACTGAAGTGTAACTGTTACTATTAGTATTATTAATATTAGTATTAATTATGCGTCTTTTAAAATTATTTTTTGCTTTGTACTGAGCTATGGTGATTATATTATTTATAGGCATGAAGTATTGAAGTGGTATGAATTTGTTTTTTAAAACCTTTGTTTAAGAATAAGCTCACAAAAATCAAATCGCTAAATAAGTATTTTTGTAGCTTAAAAAAAAGCCAGTACCCGTTGCAATACATTTATCATTTTTATGTTGGTTGTCTGTTTTGATACCAATATAAAGACCAAAGAAAAAAAAAACTCAGCTTGAGGTTAAAAATTAGTAAGAAAATTGACCATATCTCTTCTTAGAAATGCAGTGCCTCTCCATATGCCTAACTACCACACACAAAAAAACTTGTGAACTTTTAACTGAATACTTCACATTATGAAAATTGGAATTAATTTTCAGTTGTTTATTAACATTTCTTCAAAAGTGCAGTTTAAAATCTGTTTAAATTCAACTAAAATCCACTTGTATGAAAATTTGAATGCAAAGATGCCAATACTTGTTAAAGAATATTCAAATAATCTCTGCAGTTGGACAGTGTTTGACAGAGAAAAAGGGTCATCTCAGCATGCAGATGATGTAATAAAATTCGATCCTGGAATTCCTTTAGATTGCATTTGTGTATGCAAATTATGTGGTGAAATTTGATCTTATATTTCTTGTAGGAGGCACATGTTGAGAAAACTGTTTAGTTTCTGAACATGTGCATCCTTCAGGAAATGAGTGATCAAAGTACACTACATCAGCTGCATACTGGAACAAACCTCTTTTTTTCACTGTGAGAGACTGTCCAACAGATGATGGCAAGGGAATTTGCTGAAGCCAGAGTCGGTCTGTATCAAGCAAGTTCCAAAGAAGTGTGGTTTGTAATTTAACTTTAACCAATGATAATATACACAATATTGTGTTCTGTCTTTGAAGTACAGTGTTGCTGTGTTCATTGTTGCTTGTGGAAAAAACCTATTATATGTATCTATTTTAAATTGCATTGTAGAAGAAATATTGATCAAAGCATTTAAACTGGCTTTATAAGGTTAAGTATAAAATTGACATTGTTAACAAATAAAAATATTTGTTAGGTTGGAAAGAATGAGAAATGATGAATTTTCTTCACACACAAATGCCAGAAGTTGGAACACTCATTTATGTCCAAGTTTTTGGTCTTCATACCCAGTATTAATTCTAGATTATTCAAGTAAATTTAAAATGTTGGGCATGAAGTTTATGCCATATACTTTGGCAATAAGTAAACCTAGATGAATTTACTGCAAATGCAAATTCAACAGTAAATACTTTAGTACCTTTTTACTAGGCTTTTCAGTGTTACCATTAGCTTTATTTCTGTGTTTTGAAAATATTTGGTAATTTTGTCTTGTTGATAGTTTAGTTTTATAAACCTGAAAACACGAGTTTGCAATTATATTTCAAATGCTTTTTGTATTTAAATTTTCTGAAGCTAAATATGCAATTTCTACTTTTTTAACAGATAAGTTGATTTTTATCAGTATTTTATGAAAGAATGTAACTTAGTTTTGTTATTTTAGAATTTTCCTTAGTTTTGGCATCATACAAATGAAAACTTGCTGTATTATTTTGAAAGAATACTGTAAAAAACAAACTTTATTATTTATCTGTCACTATATTTATGTTTACCTGTAGGATGCAACATTATGTTCTTAATTTAAACATAATATGAAGACAAATAGTGCTTTATATTAACCAATCAACCTTTGCTGTTTTTATTTAAAAATAAAAAAACCTTTGGATTTGATCTTCATTACATTGCAAAATGCAAGTTTATTCTAAGAATGGCAATTCTGTATGTAATTCTCTTGTTACTTAGAGAAATTTCTAAACATTTTTTAGTGAAGTGTGGTCAGATTGTTTTAACAAAGGTAACTCTTGAATCTAGTTTTTGCAATGTTAATTAACTTGGGTTTTATTTTTAGTTGAAATAGCTTGTCTAAAGTTATGATAAAGTAAAAATAAATTTTCGTAGTGCTTTTGTTACTTGGTCATTTTTAAATGATCATGAGGGGAAGCTGGTAAATTTTGTGACACAAATGACTTGTTAAAGCTCAAATTTATGTGTTATTACAATTTCAAATTGTTTGAAAGGTGGAGAATCGTAAATTCCATTTATGTATAGACTTTTTACATTGTCATTATTGTAGACTCTTCAGTATTTTAATGACTGAAATATGTATTTTAAACAAGTGTACTCTGTTTCTTTCAGGGATTACTCTCCTCTGTTGTTTATCATCTAAAGCACAATGGCAAAAGTTGGAATCAATGGGTAAAGTTAAATTTCATGTTACCTGTTGGTATTGTTATGTAATCTATCTTCATTTATGCATTGCACAGAACAAACAAATGATCTAACACTGATAAATGACCACTAGTATAAGATGTTTTCTGTCTTAAAATAATGTTATAACTGTCTTCTGTGTTAGTAAGATTGTTTCTCTATCAACAAATTTAATAACCGTAATTAATTTCTTGTATGCTTAGGTTTGGACGTATTGGCCGATTGGTTCTCCGTTCCTGTTTGGACAAAGGAGTTGAAGTTGTAGCTGTTAATGATCCTTTTATTGATGTCAATTACATGGCAAGTTGAACGTTTGAAATGATTTTAATTGCATTGAGGATAATTGCATAGTTGTCAAGAAAACTAATTGGATAAATACTTATTTCAGTCAAACTTCTTTTGCAGTAGGCTTGGTCAACTCTAGTGTTAGGACACATTTGGAAATTTTAAAAATGTTTTGAGTTCTAAGCTTTGTACATAGAAAGAAAAAGAAAAAAAAAACTTTGTATTGTAGATACAATACAAATTCGTTGTTTAACGTTTAGAGACAATAAGATTTACTCGTTTATCAGTCAGCTGTTCCAACATTACAGTTAGCTGAATGTGCACAATATTGTTCCATTGGATCAACTTTGTGTTTGAGAAACAAGGTGCACAAGCCACAACCTTTAACAAAGTGCTATTCAGTTTTGTAGCATGTATTTGTTTTCACAACTAATGAATCAATGCATCCTTAGTTATTGTAGCTTTTAGTTTCCTTTGTGTATGTATTTCACATTGTTGTCCTTTTAGTCAGTTTGTTATATAGAACTGGCATTATTAACTTGAGTTATTTTTTAGTTAATTTACTTTTCTATCAAGAATAATTGATAATTCTTATTTGTTTGATAGGTTTACATGTTCAAGTACGACTCTACACATGGTCGATACAAGGGTGAGATCCGAGCAGAGGGAGGAATGCTGATTGTTGGTGGACAAAAAATCCATGTTTTCCAAGAGTAAGTCATTGGCTAAAAATTCGTTAATCATGAAAGACTCAAAAGTTAGATACAAAATATTTTAACACCCTTATTTAGAAGGGTTGCAGATGAGCAATATTTTATCCACAATTTAACATTTTGGAAGAAATATGTTTAATCTGTAATATAACTAGATGTAAAAGGGAAACAAGAATGATAAGTATGAATATTTGAAAATAAAATGTGATTAATGTAAGTAGAAAACAAATAACTAAACCAGGTGGAACAAATACCTATAGAAAAAATGTCACATTTCTCACTGTATGGGAAATTCAGGATTTTTTAAGGTATTTCCTTGTAAGATTAAGAACTTGTATGCTATTAAAATATGGATTATTATCTATAATTTTATGCCATACTAATTGGTATAACACGAACAAACAAAAAGTAGTTTTAATTAAATTTTGAATGTAACTCGCTAAAAACCTTGTGACATGCACAATAAAGAATGCCAGTGGTAAGAGGTATAATTACTGCTGAAAAGAGCCAAGGAGACAATGTAACTGATTGAGCCCAACGATTAATCTGTTAGCAAATTCCACTAATCGACCATCACTTAATGTCAAACAAATGTGAAAGTGAGCATCCCTTAAAATTATCCAATGTGGAAGACCCTTTCATCCCAGCTTGTCAAACTTCAGTTAGAAAGGTTTTTTCTATATGGTTGTGTTTATAATAATAAAAAAAAACTTCAAGCACTTAGAAAAAGTAAACTGTAAATAAATAATATAGGTCTTTCAAGGTAAAATTCTGGAAAATTAGGTTACCAAATGGGTTTCAAGGAGAGTTAGATGAAGTATAAATGTGTGTTCAGGAGTTTATGCAGAGGTGTGAAACTAATATTAAAAAAAAAAGCAAAGAAAGAAAAATTCCTCATCCAAGGGACAAAATGCTGGAAATTCTACTTGTCTCACACTGTTCTAACAAAAAAAAAAAAAAAGAATTACAAATAAATCCAAATCCTAAAAGTTATAATGGTGGACAATTGTACCTCACTTAGGAATGGTGTATACTTTTCATGTCTGTATATTTTTATATATCATGTGTTTCTTTAACACTTGATCATTTTGGTGTTTCAGCACAGTGTAAAAAATACCCCATGCATGGACTGATAAAGAAATCATTGTTTACATTAATGCTACCACAAATTAAAATGGTGTTCAAGATGGAAAACAGTTTAAAGTTGATCATAATTTATTTTAGAAATTTTTTTAGAGTTAGCAGTCAAACTTCACTGAGCTGTAGATAAAAGCAGTGTAAGCTCTCTTTAGTCCATACATCAACAGTATTGAATTTTTCTTCTTCTTTCTTCATGGATACAGTCCTAGGCATCATGGTGAATTCAACACTCATGTTAAGATCTCTTGAGCAAATTTAGCAAAGTAAGTTGACAACATTTAATATTCTCTTTTATGATTAAGGATGAAACCTAGTGCTATTCCATGGGGCAAAGTTGGTGCTGAGTATGTTGTGGAATCAACTGGAGTTTTCACTACAATTGACAAAGCAAAACCACATATTGAAGGTGGAGCTAAGAAAGTTGTCATCTCTGCCCCTTCTGCTGATGCTCCCATGTTTGTCATGGGTGTGAACCATGAGAAATATGATCCATCTATGGAAATTATCAGCAATGCCTCTTGCACCACCAACTGTTTAGCACCCCTTGCTAAGGTCATAAATGACAATTTTGGAATTGTTGAAGGTCTTATGGTGAGTGTTTGTTTTTAATAAGGAGATTTAATGATTGGAAATTGTTAAGGTAATGGGCAGTGCTACTGTTCAGGTTTTGTTTATTGAGAAAAAAGATGTATTAATAAGAACTTAGATTTCAGCAAATGAGAAACTTTTCTAAAATTTGTTCTGTCATCATTGTATAGTTTACAATGGATTTAATTTATGTAAGGTTAATATATAGAATTATTTGGCTTAAAAAATCATTGCTATACTTCACATTTTAACTTGTACAACCAATGAATTAAAAAAATTTGATTCATAGCTGTCATCTATTACAGAAGTATTCCTTTCACCAGGTAAAAAGCTTGACATGAAATGTTTGAATTTGAGGATAAGCACCATAAGAACTATTTTAGAATTCCTTGTCTAAAAAGAAATGGGGGGGTGGTGCAAATTATATCAATGAACCTAAATGAAATAGATTTTGGAAAAAAATTGTTTTATTCATTTAAATTTATTAAAACGTAATTGTTTCTTTTACGTAAGTGTACAAAAAGGATATGCAAAATTAAGGATTTTAGATACACAGTAATTATGCTAATTTTTCTTTATCTAAAGACTTGGATGATAACTTGTGAATAAGTCATGCGAGATAATAAATACACAATTACTTTAATTCTTATTACCAATTGATACAGATAGTACTTCTTTTACTAGCACAAACTAGTAATATTTTTCAGCACATCACTTTTGACATTTATAGTTTTCTGTATCTGAACAGCATATGGTTAAACCTTAAAGATGAATAAAGGTTTAAACTTTTGCTCTTGGAAATTGGCTTGAATTGTTTTATTAACTTATTGAAGTTTATAACATTTTTAACTAAGATCATACTTCATCCCTCCAGACCACAGTTCATGCTGTTACTGCCACTCAGAAGACTGTTGATGGACCAAGCTCTAAGGTAATTTCCACACATTTTTCATCTTAGTGTTCTGTGTATTATTAATGTTGTAGTTGTTGTTAGTTTGGTAGTATACATACAGAAACCACAATGTGTGTTTTTTTCTTTTTCAGGCATGGAGAGATGGACGTGGGGCCAATCAAAACATTATTCCTGCTTCAACAGGTGCAGCAAAAGCTGTTGGTAAGGTCATTCCAGATTTGAATGGGTATGTATTGGACTATTATTTAAAAAATATGTATCTAAGTAGGAGATTAACTCAATAAAGATTCAAGTTTTATTAACTGACGTAAATGTTTTTTGCTGTTGGTATGTTGCTAATGTGCATTAAACTTTGGGTATTTCTTTTGTATCCAAATATGTAATCACATGTTCAAGGTTTCTAAATTGTCAATGTTCATTTCATAATGGTTATTACACACACACTGGATCTGTATTACTCATTGGTTGAAGTTAATAAATTCTCAGGATTTTACGATATCTGTAAGGAATTGTCAGTTGGATTTGTCTTTGCTTTAATTTCCACAGAACATAGTTGTGCTTATATAATTTGTGTACAGCTAATGCAGAATTTTTTTGAAGTTTGTGTGTATTTGTGAATTATATTTGAATGCAAAAATGCTGTGAAGAAGTGTTCAGATTTATCAAATTTTTAGATATTAAGTAATTGTAACTTATATTCTGCATTTACTTGTTGTTGTTTTTCTTGTTAAAAGAATAAACATAGGGGAATGTAATAGATAATCATTACTTGGAATGTGTATATATGAAGTACAAGATTAATGTAATTGGGCCTATGAGAAAGAAATGTTGTTATACCTATTTAGAAAGCTGACTGGTATGGCTTTTCGTGTCCCTGTTCCTGATGTTTCTGTTGTAGACTTGACTTGTCGACTGGCCAAGGAAGCTTCATATGATGACATTAAAGCTGCAGTAAAGGCTGCATCAGAGAGTGATCATTGGAAAGGAATTTTGGGATACACAGAAGATTCAGTAAGAAACTTGTCAATTTTGCATATAATCTCAAGTTGAGAATTTATTTTTAAATAATCAAACTGACTAATTTTTCATGAAGTTTACCTTTATGCAGTATCTTTCTCGTCTTAATGTCTAAAGTTTTATTCAAATGTGTGTGTGTATTAGTTGTAGAAGTAACTAAACCTAACATTATCCAAGTAATACACTTTTGTCACATGATTTAAAAATTTCTGTTTCCAGGTTGTGTCATCTGATTTTATTGGTGATTCTCATAGTAGTATCTTTGATGCCAGGGCTGGAATTTCTCTGAATAAAAATTTTGTGAAGCTAGTTTCATGGTAAGTTTCAGATTGTACACAAGAGTTGGAGAACCACAGAAACAAAGCATGGTATTAGAATGTTTACTTGTTGAATGTGCTTCTGATTGGTGGTGTAAATCAGTTTGGAACAACAGTCTGCAAATATTATCTTGAGCTAGAAATGTATTTTTATTTGTAAATATATTCTTTTTTCATTAGCACTTCTTGTTTTATTTTTATAATGAAAATCATACTGGTTTCATTATGTAGTAATCTTTAGTGCACAAAAAAAACCTGGCTTTTACAGTCTTAGAAGTGACTAAGAACAACAAAAAGAATGATAATGTGGCTTTACTGTTTTTATGTTTGTGAATCATGTTGAGGAACAATATAATTATGAATTGTTTGCTTAAGCTAACTTTATTTAACTTATTAGCTCAGTGTAATGTTTTTTCCTGATTGGAAATGATTTATTATAAGCATAGTTTAAGCTTTGTAGCTGTATTATTATTATTATTATTCTCTATTAAGTTAGCATCAGTTATTTCTCAGTTTATTCACGTTCTCTTGTTATTTTAAAGAGTTTGACACAAAGAAAACTTTCACTCCTCCTATAATCACATTCAGGGTATTGTATTCATTCTCTGGTAATTTAACTGTGGATTATGCTAATGTGTGCTTATAATCTTTTTAAGGTATGACAATGAATATGGATACAGCTGCAGAGTGGCTGATCTGATCAAGTATATATACAGCAGGGCATAATATCATATGGGCTCTCAGCAATGTGAAGATTCTCACAATTGGATAAAAGATCACACACTTTTACTTGTTTTTGTGGTAGTGGTACCTCAGGATTGTCTTGTTAACTTAATGTGATGCTCTGTAGGTTTTCTGGTACTTCATTATTTCAGCATCTGTTAAGAATTGTCAGCGTCCTATCTATATTCAGTGGTATCATTGTTCTGTGCTAGTCATAAGATTAATTAGTCTACTTCAAATCTATTAATATTTTAAATATTTGTCTTAGTTGTGCTTTTCCCTGATGTTCTGTAGAAGGTTAAAGCTGGTCAACAATAATGTATCTTGGTGTTCCAAGGAGTAATAAAGTTAACGCAATCCTCGAGTTGCTTCACTGGTGCTTTTTAATGGTTTGAAAACTTGTAAGCTGGTTTGCAGGTTTCTGAAGGAAATATAATTGCTGATATGGATGCTGAAGCATACAACTTCATTCCACGTCTAAAACTGCCAGTCAATGTTTTGAGCTATTTGTGAAGATATCTTTTTTTGTGTGTATGTTTTAACAACTACTACATTCAGACCACACTCTTTAGTATATTAACAACCACTAGTTATAAGTATAATAATTTTTAAAGTAGATAACATACTACACCAAGACGATCGATGTTCTCTACATTTTTTTTAATGCTTATAATCGTCGTTGGATAATTTACTATTGTATTAACATAATGCGCTTTTATACACAAGTAAGCTTCTCTTGCAATTGGTGTTTAAAACATGTTGTACTTAAAGCCTGAAACACTAGATTAGTAGTAATGAATTATGATTTGGTGATCTACAGAGTATTTATTTTAAAAGAAAATTAAAGGATTAGTTAAACAATGTTGAAGCTTTTGTTATAAAAATCTACAATAATGTATTAGTTTTCCAGTAATTTCAGTCTCAATAAGAACTATTGGGTATAGTTGGGAAAAACGTTTCAAAACTACGATTCTTTATCGGCCTAATTGCTGGCAATATAACATTTTGATCTTTATTTGTTACATCGAGTACGTTTATCAACTGGATAACTGGTAAGTGTACAAGTTAATTTTATTTCACAATAACTTACCCAAGATGTAATGAAATGCTACTTTGAAAATATAGCAACAAAAAAATACACGTTTATCTTTGTCTTTTATTAATAATTTAAATTTTAGTTTGATTTTCTTTGGCACTTTTTAGTTTCCAGACTTCATCCAGTGTTTTGAGCACATGATCACACTAATTGTATGAGGTAGGCATTGTTATTCCCAGCGATTTAAATTATCTGTGCGGAATATCGCAAACTTTAGTATATTAGACTAACGATTTATAATACGTATACACAATACATACATTTTTAGTTGAAATGATCAAATGTTAAATTTATTTTAATCATGCCTCTCACGCCTGTCTTAGCTCATAAGTGGGTTTTTATATTCTTTTTACCGGACTATTTAAATCCTTCCAAAGAATTCCACTACCGCACAGTTTGAAGGCTTCTGTTTCTTTTATGTAAATCTAAGACTGCAGTACTGAGTCTTTCCAATAATTATTCACCAACGATTTTTATACTTAATTACTTTAGCCTTGTGTGTGTGCGGTCGCTCGCGTCTATGTATGTATGTATGTGTACATGTTTACTTTTTCCCGAGAAACGTGCTCTCTTTTCACACCATGAACTGAAGTGCGTAAACGATAATTTTATGCCATTACTTTCTGAAAAGTTGTACGTACTAGTACGACTCGAACACCTTGGACATTAACATTGCACGACTTTACCAGATGCGAGAGTCTGTTTAGTGTGATTAAATAACCTTGGGTGTTTTTTTTAGAAATATTGTTTTGGCATGGTCTCCTGGTGAGTCAGCGACAAGTTTACGAACTTCCAATGCTAGAATCCGGGGTTAGATTCCTCGAAGTGTACAGAGCTTGCATAGCCTATTGTGTGGCTTTTAGCTAAAACAAGTTGGTCACAGTTTTGTCATCGCTAAATGTGTACATGAAGAAATATTTAACTCCGTACGTTGCGTTTCTGTTCAAAATAAAAAGACAACTTCGAAATGGTGTATTTAAGTGTTTTACACTCACAAAACACTTAAATACACCATTTCGATTTTCGATACATCACTACTATAAAGGCTTGGTTTGGTCTCAACTTTCATTGGTGGTAGTGCCCAGGGTCACTGATGAGTGAAATTCTCCGAAACTAGTCTGGCTCACAGACACACCCCCAATGAAATAATAGATCATTCCAAGCTTTTACTTGTTGTTAAACAAATGTTTAAACATCTATTCCAAAAGACAACCTGTTTAAACTTGAATTAAATTTTTACGAGGACTAAATTTAAGTTATAAATTAAGATAGAAGCATAATGAAAGATGAATTTTTCTTAATTCGATTGCTAACTTGTGTAAACTCGTCAACATTCGAGTGAAATGGCTTTGTATTAATGTAAAACATATTTTTCATATTTCATCAAAATCGGCTCCAACGTTACGGCTTGGGTTAACGTTTTTCGTAGATAATATATATGTACTGATAAGAATATTTTGTGTGGATGTATGCGCGCGTGTGTGTGTAATAGTGTCTTCGTTGCTTATTCAAGCTGTATTAAAGTAGGTTTCTCTTCATCAAATTAAATAAGGAAATATAAAAGTTAACAATTAATTTCAGTATACGGCATAGCATGCAAAAACCCTTTAAGTTAGTTTTTTATCATTCCAGTGATAAGAGCCCTAATTAAGTGGGCTGCATATTATTACAAATTTAATATCGATTTTTAAAAATCCTTCCGTTTCATTTCTTGTATTTACCACTAGGTGGCGATCATATCTGGATTACTTGAAGGAGTGTTTCTTTCCTGAAATATTTTATCTAAACCTAAGTAAAATATTCATTATTCTAAAATTAGTTAACATAGTTTTATACACACACACACAAATAATTAATAAACTTTTATCGTTCGGAAAAGCTTTGTATTATTCCTCGACGGCCCCAGTTACATTTGCGTGATTGTAATAACGAAGGAACTTTCAAATATAACGTACATTGCCTATTAAGAAACGTTCTCGAGATAATGTCATTAGTGATAAGAAATAGCTTATTTAAAATTACAAAAAAAAGAAAAGAATTTAATTAAGGTCTACATTATACGTTTGACTTAAACAATTAGAGATGCTTGTTTGTGAAAATGTTTATGCTGAGATTCACTAATTTATCAATGTTTTTGGCAGTTCGCAATGAGTACATCTAAAGTATATTTTATCTATTTCTTTAGAAATAAAATAATTCAGCTGTGACATTTCAGTTGTAAGAGTTTAGCAACAAAGCGTTGTTGATCACTCGCTGTCAATAATGTTTTACAATTCAAGTTTAACGTGTTTTTTTTTTTAATATCAGTGACTTACTAATCACATGGTAGAATGTCTGTTTACATAAGGTTAGGGCACTCGACTCGCAATCTGCGGATCTCGGGATCGAAAACTGGTACAGAGCATGTCAGCTGTGGAGGTGTTATAATGCAACAACCTGTCCAATTATTCATTGACAAAAAGTTCGTGGTGGAAGTTGCTGAATGGCTTCCCTGTGGTCGGTAGTTGAAAATTAAAAATGGCGGCAGATAGTCTTGGTAGCTTTGTCATAAATCGTAAAGAAACTTTGGAAACATTTTGAAGTGTCTGTTCATACAGTTTTCACATGTTCTTGTAATAATAATAAATAAGATGTTTTACTGGAAAATATTACTTCTTGAACTTATTCATTATATACATATTTAAACATTGTTTTGGTTTGTTTTGAATTTCGCGCAAAGCTACACGAAGCTATCTTCGCTAGCCGTCTCTAATTTAGCAGTGAAAGACTAGAGGGAAGATAGCTAGTCATCACCGCCAACTCTTGGGCTACTTTTTTACCAACGAATAATGGGATTGATCGTAACATTGTGACGAACCCCACGGCTGAAAGGGCGAGCATGTTTGGTGTGACGAGGATTCGAACTCGCATATTGCAAGTCAAGCGCCCTAACCATCTGGCCACGATGGGCCTATATTTAAACATTCATATACTAAAGTTTCAATATATACGCTTTCGTTAAATTTACCTGAATTATTAAATTACATTACAAATCATTTTCACAAGAAATCCCCTTCTCATTCGATAATTATTTTAGTATTTTACTTTAAAAATCTCTAGGCCTGTAAAACTATTATCAAAGGAAAGTGGTTTAACTATAAACCATTAACTAAAAATTCTATACGAACCACTGGCATAGTCACGGATGGACCTAGGAGGTCCTCGGCCTGTCCACTTGCCAAGGGCGACCCAATCAGAGTTCTGCACAATGGTTCACGCATTCCAATACGTCACAAATCGTGTTTTTTTTTTTAGCTCCCTCTAACTTGTCTTCCAAGATTTACGTTTCCTGCCAATCTATTGTGACTCCAGATTCACCCATACTTTCCTACTTGGCTACGCCACTGATACGAACCACATAAATCTAAAAAAAGAAAAAATGCTCTACGTAGGTAATTTTTATTATTCACAGCAAAAATATACCACTGAAAATCATTATATAAACGCAATAATAGTATAATGTTCATTAGTATTCCGAACTCAATCTTAAGTATCATGCTCTAAGTCAGCGTTGGCTAGACTGTGGGTTATGACTTTTCGAGAAGGCCTCTAAGGGGAGGCGCAAAAATGTAAAACACAAATAATTTCTCATTTTTACAACAAACGGAAACTAATCTAAATCGGTTACATTCACTATTTTAATATTTAATTTTTTTTTAATATCTGGTGTTACAAGCATAATATATTTGTGTATGTGTGGCGTATTTCGTGAGTAAGAATACCGGCAAAAAATGGATTATGATAAGCTTATATTTGAGAAAGCCTGAAATAAAGATGTGGTTATATTTTTTCCCCATGTAAATGTCACTTGAATTTATATTTTAACTAGATATTTTCTATTAACAAATTTATCAAATACCAATAGATGGCGCTAGTACAAATAAATAATCGTTGCCATTTAAAGCACAAGAAGCATCATGCACAAGATGGTGCAGAAATGTAAAGAATATGAGCTAATGTAAGAATTTGTGCGTGTGTATAATGCAAAATATTCAGTCAATCGAAGCACCCATGAACTTCATTTTAGGTAAACTAGATGAGGGTGGAACATTTTGGACAAAATTTGAAAAGGTTGGTAAATTCACCAACCCTTTCAATTTTTGTTCAAACTGTCCAACTCTCATGTAGTTTACCTAAGACCAAGCTCATAAATGTTCTAGAGTGGACATATAAATGTTCCAGCATTTAAGGGCACTCAGAGATCATTTTGGTACACACCTATGTCTTCC